CCTTCAACAAGATGGATTGACACGGTGGCCGCAACAGTGGGCTCAGGTATAGATAGCAAGGATCATGGAGCTGGTGCAGGATCGGGTGGTGTTTCGTTCTGCTGTTCATGGGATTGCTATGAGTCAGAAACAACTCGACACACCTAACAACAACAACAACAATATTCTCTTTAAAAAAACTATAGCTACTTTTTCTTAAAAAAAAAAATTGTGTTCACACAATTTTACTTCAAATCCTTTATTATTATTATTACTTCATTTTCTAACTTTTTAAAAATGTTACTATGCTTTTGGTGAAAGTTGACATAGCAAATTAGATTCCCATTCAACAATTAATACATAAATTGTTTTGTGACGTTGGTTATAGTTCCCATAGTGAGTCAGCACTCTCACCATTTCCACCCCACCTGCCTAACTTCTATCAATCCAGAGATTAGCTTCTTATCTTTGCTTTTGGGTAAATGTTGGCCATTTGGTTTGGTCTCATATAGTTGATTGTTTAAAGGAGCACGTTCATCAAGGGTATTATTGTTTATTTTACAGGCCAATCTATTGTTTCACTGAAAGGTGATCTCCAGGAGTGGCTTCAGTTCCAAGTTAAAGGGTATCTAAGGGCGATAGTCTTGGGGGTTCCTCTAGTCTCTCTCAGTCCAGTAGGTCTGGTCTCTTTTTATGCATTTCAGTTTTGTTTTACAGTTTTCTACCATTCTCTCTAGGGCTTTCTGTTGTGTCCCTGGTCTGGAACGTTGATAGGGTAACTATCTGGTCTCAGACTAGAAGAGGCTATGATTTGTGTGGGCCATTAGTACTGTGGACTGATTTCTTCCTTGAGTCTTTGGTTTCCTCTGCTCTCTCTTGCTCCACACAGGATCAATAGTTGTTTCTTAAAAAGGTGTTTCTTAAACTGTATATGCTATTTTTTGTAAAATATATTGAAATCCTCATATAATCCTTGTCTAGAGCACAGTATTACCAGGAGCTCTGGTAGCGTAGTGCCTGAGGCACATGACTGCTAACCAGAAGGCTGGTGGTTCAAATCCACCAGCCACTCCTCGGAAGGAAGGTTGGGTGATCTACTTCCATAGAGATACCGCCTCGGAAACCCAAGGAGGGGTCGCTATGAGTCAGGTCTGACTCGATGGCACATAACAACGACAACAGAGCACAGTGTTACGAGGCTCATGATAAAAATTGAAAATTTTACCATCTTTTTATCTCTTTCTTTGCTATTATTTTATTTTTCTCCCTCTTCCTACCTTGATCAACAGTCATGTTAAACTAGCTGCAATTCCTTAGGTATATTATGGATATAACTCTGTGCCTTTGCTCATAATATTTCTACTTCCTAGAAATCGTAGTCTACAAGACAAAACACATCTTTTTATATCATACATGCTAGTGCCATTTTTTCAGCTTATTGTTTGGGGATACCAACTCAGATTTCAAGTGTCAGTGCCTTTGTGAAACCTTTCTTGATACAGCCCATCTCCGTGAAGTTGGTTCTACCTTATGTCCCCACTATACCATGTGCTAGATAGTCCTACACATTTGTAGTACTGGTTTCTTTACAAAGTTGTCTTCCTTTTCTAGTCTAGGAGCTCTTTTATTGTAGAGCTTTTTTTTTTTTTTGTCTTGCTAAATCCAGGATACAGCATAGTACTAGATATATAATAGTCATTACTAATAGTTTTGTTTAATGGATAAATTAATCATATACTACTAAATTGGAGTTAGAGAGATTTTGTGTTCTACTTGGTTTTGTTATTGCCAGCCAGAGGCATATAGATGTGACTCTATAATTGCTATTCTTCATTTTGCAAAGTTTTTTTTTTTAAGTGAGGCAAAAGTGATTCCTGTAAGCATAGTTTATTTCTGTGAACAAAATTTTCTTTAGAAGATAAGGAAAAACATTTCAAATTATGTGTGTTACTGCTCAAAGAGAAATTTAACCCTTAGGTATGGTGACTTGTCAAAAGGAGGTAAATAAATATTGCAGATTCATCCCTAATGTCAATTAGGTCTTAAGTGAACATTTGCTTAGTATTACATATACTATAAATAGACTTACTCACTTTATGATTTATTTTTTTTTCTTTTTTTCATTTTAGCATTTATGACATTGACAGAAAACAGGACTGTGACAAGAATTCTGGGGGTATACTTGGTGAAAATGAATTAAGACCACCCTCCCAGCTACATTCTCTCTTAGAGAAGATCAAGACAGGGCTCATATCAGAAAAGAGTGGGTATTAAACTACATACTATAAGTTATAAAAATTTTTAAATTTTAATTTAGATTATATGAGATGAAAGGACTTTTACAAAAATAATTTCTAATATATACTTTTTATAATCTTTGATCTAAAATTGATAGATGATTAGACTTTCAAAATGCACAAAAGGTGTATGTTCAAGGCAAATGATCAGATTCCTCTATTTGTATTTCTTTGAAATTATGATTCATTTTTGTTTTGAATTGCAGTATTTTAAATTATGAAAGTAACGTATGCTTGTGTAAAAAGAAATATAAATTGTAGTGAAATGTGTAAGGAAAAAATAGAAGTTCCCCTTTTATCCACTTCCCAATCTCAATAATTATTGGTGTAACTTCTGCTAAAAGTTTGGTTTCCTGTCCTCCTAGATCTTTTCCTATACATTTTCAAACACATTTTATATTTTTTCATCAAAAATATGTTATGTTATATAATGCATGTTGTTTACTCAGTAATACGTAACATTAAAAACCAGAAAACATTGCTATTGAGTTGATTCATAGCTACCCCTTTCTGGTTAGCAATCACATGCCTTAGGCACTATGCTACCAGCGCTCCCATCAGCATATAGGATTTGCCCTTGTGTTTATGTAATAGTTGCAAGGTGTTGATACAAATTAAATTATCACCACTGTTTTTGCTATTATTGATATTGATGCATGAACATCCTTTATGTATCCTGTACACTTATGCAGTTATTTCTGATTAATGGATTCTTAGAAATAGAAGGAGACCTCTGGTAGCATAGTGGCTAAGACACTTGCCTGCTAACCAGACGGCTGGCAGTTCAAACCCACCAGCCACTCCTCGGAAGGAAGGTTGGGCAATCCTACTTCCGTAGTGATACTGCCTCGGAAACCCAAGGAGGGGTCGCTATGAGTCGGGGCTGACTCGACGGCACATAACAACAACAACAACAACAGAAATAGAATGGTTATAGGGCATAAGGTCTGCACATTTAAGTTTTTGTTAGGTCTTGCCAAACTGTGCTCTAGAAAAGTTTTATTTATCTTATACTGGCAATTCTTTAATATCTTCAAAATAAAAATATTACATTTTAGAATTGAGGAGTGGGCCCTTCTTCAATATCTAACAAGTGACCCACTTAGATAAAATATGTTAACATTGTTGGTATTAATAGATGTGGCTTATAATACTTTTATGGAGAATACTAATAAGGCTCTTAATGGCAGGTATTATTGAGTTCTGGGTGTTTCTATCTTTGATGAGTGCTATTGCTTAATACTCAAACAGGACACATGGTCATGAAAATTCTGTAGAAGATATAGAACCCACTGCCTTAGAGTCGGATCCAACTCAGTGACCCCCTCCTTGGGTTTCCGAGGTGGTGTCACTATGGAAGTAGATTCCCCAACCTTCCTTCCGAGGATTTGCTGGTGGGTTTGAACCGCCAGCCTTCTGGTTAGCAGTCAAGTGCCTTAGGCACTACGTCACCAGTTTTTGTTGGAATTATTTGCCTACTTGAGTTTGACACCTAACTTGTTGGATTAGTTCATCTCACCATCTGTTTTCAAGCAAGATGTTTATGAAATAGGAAAAAAGTACCTGTGGCGTAGCATTGAAAGTTGGTTTATAATTTTATTAACTCTTTTTTTTAGAAATTAAGAAGAGATTTAAAACAACAAAACAAAACTGTGTGCTGTCAAGTCGATTCCAACTCATAGTGACCCTAACAGGACAGAGTAGAACTGCCCCCATAGGGTTTCCAAGGCTGTAGATCTTTATAGAAGCAGACTGCCACATTTTTCTCCCATGGATGTGGCTGATTGATTGAAATTGCTGACCTTTTGGTTAGCAGATGAGCACTTTAACCGCTGTGGAACCAGGGCTCCTCTAAGAAGAGAAAGAAGTGTCCAAAACCAGATAACTCAGTATCTTTGAGATGGATTTTAAGAAGAAGTGGATATAAATGCAGGGCAATTTGAGCAGAATCTAACTGGCATCAAGCTTGACTTAACTTTTAAGACTGAATCCACAAATAGGGGAGAAATGTGCCAAGAACCAGGTGGCCATAGGAGAAAATATTAACTTGCTTTCCAGAACCACTGTGATTGAACTTAAACTTCTCCATACGCTCTTTATTGATCCCTTAAGTTCTAAGGAGGGAGCTTGGTGGCGTAGTGCCTAAGGCATTTGACTGCTAACCAGAAGGCTGGTGGTTCAAACCCACCAGCCACTCCTTGAAAGGAAGGTTGGACAATCTACTTCCATAGTGACACCGCCTCGGAAACCCAAGGAGGGGTCGTTACGAGTTGGGTCTGACTTGGTGGCAGTGAGTTTAGTGACACTGTACATTTCACAGGCATATTACCATTTTATTATCAACTCCAATCTATTTTGTTATGTTTGAGGCATGTGGTATCTGGCAGGGTATATCTTACTCTTGTATTAAAAGTAATTCTCTGTCAGTTATAATTCATTTAGGTTATTTTCTTCAAATGAGGTGTCTTTTAAGCTTAGTCAAGATAGTACCGAAATGGTAGTCATAACACTTTTTGGTTATATAAGAGGGAAATAGGTTAAGAAAGTATTAAGTGATATTTAGTGTGCCGTTTTTAACCCCACTTTTTGGTTATCTTAAACAGTTGCATTATTTTTGTTTGTGTTTTACAGTTTTTGAGACAGTGTCCTTGAGTTCAGACTCTGTCTTCCAGAGAGCAGTTTCAATTCTCCATACTTCTTACTTGGATTCTGCATCTGAGCATGGTTTTCAGTACAGTCAAGTGACTTTGGTGAAAAATCACATTTTCTTAAATGAGGTGAGGTACTTGGTACACGCTGTGTCTGTATGTTAGGTTTATTTCAGTTTTAAAAGAAATAGGCCCATCATTTTAGTATATAAGTCTAGCTCTTTTTAGTTACTGCTTTTCAGATGAGACAGAAGATCCTTGGAAGTAGTCATTTGGAAGATAATAATATGGCCTGTTGTTGTTGTTATGTGCCGTTGAGTTGGCTCCGACTCATAGCGACCCTGTGTACAGCAGAACAAAATCACTGACTGGTCTTGGGCCAGCCTCACAATATTTGCTAGACCTGAGCCCATTGTTGCAGCCAAAATCATACATTTCATTAGTTTTTTTCAGCAGAAGGAAATCAGGTGATACTTTAAAAAATTAATTTGCAAGGCAAATAGCATGTTTATAGCATTTGGTCCTTCTCTCTTTATACAGTACGAAACATTTTATCAACAAAAAAAAGCAAGTAACTATTCTCAGGAAGAACTTCAAGAAACTTACGGGTTTCTTCTGTTTGAAACTGAAAATCAGGTAAGGGAATTAGGTTGTTGAAAATTAATTTTGTGGTATTAATGTACAAAATTAATGCTATCATTAGTCTTAAATATTTGAATTTTAGTTCTATGCAATTTGTAAGCTTTTGTTACCTAGTATGGTGGCAGTGTAAATGACATTGAAAGCTCATCATTGAAAGAGATTAGATTTTTACATTTTTTTTCCTCTTTAATTTTATCCTAAATACATTTGTAAGCTGATGGTATGATTTGAATTAATCTGATTTCTTCAGTGTTGATAATACTTGATTTTTTAATGGAGTGAATGGCTATTTTTCCATTTTAGATCATTGTTTATATAGTTAGTTCCAGTTTCCTGTGGATATTTTTTAATTTTAGATCATAATGGTTTTTGGGGATAGGATGAACAGTTTTTGGCTAGTGGGTTTGAACCGCCAGCCTTCTGGTTAGTAGTCAAATGCCTTAGGCATTATGCCACCAGAGCTCCTTTTTATATCCTAGTAGCTTAGAATTTTTTCATGCCTGTCTTTGAAGATTGAACATCTCTTCTGTTGCTTGTACTTAATTGTGAGAGAAAGAAAGTGAAACTGTTACATGCATGGTATGTCTCCAAAGACATGTGTGGCTTCTTAGGTGCAATTTTAACAGTACTAGAAATCTGTGATTGAAACTTAAAATAATTCAGAGGTAATATTTTGGTTGGGTTAATGGTTTATAAAGAACAGGGATAGGTTTGCTTAAGAATAATTAACATAACAAAATTATAATATGAGGGTTATATAGGTAATACCAGAAGAGTTTTCTTTCTTTAATATTTATTTAGTCATCTAAATCCAAACAAGGTACACTATGGGTTCTCACTAAAGATGTCTGAAGGTAAGACCTTTTCAGACTTGTTGGTTACAAAGCTTATTACATATGGAAAAGAAATCTTCAAAAGATGACTTACTTGTGAGCTTATGTAACTTGGTTTTGCTGGTGACATTTTTGTAACAGAAATGGTAAAATTTAATGAAAACTTTAAAGTATTAACCAAAACATGATTCTTTTATATAAATTTGTTTTATGCCATGAAAACATAAAAATGTACAGATTCTGTATTTCCTTTAGAGTATTATTTCATTGTCTTTCCAAAGAGTGATAATGACAAGCAAAGTAATATCTTTTGTTTAAAGGCAAAGTTGGTATGTCAGCGTGGACTCTGTGTTGGCAGCAGTGCAATCACCACTCTTGGTGATCCAGCTAAAGGTAAGTCTTTAAAGAAAAAACGATCTTTCACAAGATGAAGTAAGGTTTAGTTAATTTCATAAGATACTTCTGTTAAAAGCCAGTTTTCACTTAATGACAAACATAATCTTTGAGTCAGAACTTTAAACACACTAATGAGGTTAAAACTTAAGGTTTTTCAATAGGAGTTACATGATGAAAAAACTTAAGGTATTTCAATAGAAGTTACATGATGAAGATTTTTAAAAAGGTTAGTTGAACTAGAAAAGATTCAGAAGGTATCTTTAGGTCCCAAAAGATTAGTACAGTCATCTAGGGGTAATGAGGAACTCTTCTAAACTATCATAATGGCAATAGGAATGGAGAATAAATAGAATTGGCCAAACTTAGCAACTATGGAATGTGAAGGGTAAGAGAGAGGAAATAATCATATGTAATGTTTTAAATGTACAGTCTAGTGATAATATTAACAGAAAAGAGACACAGAAGGAAGAAAACTCATCAGTTAAAAAGGGTAAAATAATCTGATAGTTAAAAACATGAGTTACCACTAAATTTCTCTAAGCTTTAACTTCCTCATCAGTAAAATAGATAAAACTACTTTATAGAGTGTGGGTATTAGACAGGACAATGTAAAGTGCTTAGCCCAGGACCTGGTACATGGTGAGCTTTCAGTAAACAGACACTATTACTTTTATGACTTAAATTTGAGAAAATAATGAAATTTCTGTATGTGTTTCTGAAGTATATTTAGTGGATGGTAAAAAACAATTGGGAAACGGCTTGGGCTGTGGTTGGGGCTGGGGTGGTGGATGTGGGGTACTAGTTGAAGTTAAGACATTGTTACATGAGGCTGTATAAAAGGAAAAGATAAAAGAAAAACAACAGAACTTTTGGATCATTACAGAGATGGAGGTGGGGAGTGAGGACGGGGGTGGCATAGAATGATGAACAACACTCTAGAGCAATCAGTCCAGTGGATAGAGAATTGGAAAATAAAGTTTTACAGAAAGCAGAACTATTTCAAAGAAGAGTTATTTGGTAGTGCTGGGTGTTACAAAATTTAGAGAAGATCACGACTGAGAAAGATCAGTGGGTTTGATGGCTAGATTCCTGCTGACCTGTTTTTTTTTTTATCACAGCTTTACGGAGATACATATTCATATACCATACAATTCACCCATGTAAAGTGTACAATTCTGTATTTTTAGTGTATTCAGAGTTGTATAACCATCACCATAAGTAAGTTCAGAATATTTTCATTACCTCAAAATGAAATCCTATACCCATTAATAGTTCCCATTTTCTCCTCCCCCAGCCACAAACTTACAGCCATCAAGTTGATTCCTACTCATAGTGACCTACGTTGGCTTTCCAAGCCTGTATATCTTTATGGAAGCAGACTGCCTTATCTTTCTTCCACTCAGTGGCTGGGAGTTTTGAACCACTGACCTTTTGGTTAACAGCCAAATGCTTTAGCCACTATACCACCAGAGTTTTTCCCCCAACTACAGTCAACCACTAATCTACTTTCTGCCTCTATAGATTTGGTTATTCTAGATAATTTCATTTAAATGGAATTATATAATACGTGGTCTTTTGTGACTAATGTCTTCACTTAGCATAATGTTTTCAAGTTTCACTTAGGTTGTAACAGTACTTCATTTCTTTTTTCCTGGTGAATGATATTCTGTTGTATGGCTGTACTATATTTTGCTTATCCATTCATCAGTTGATGGACATTTGGGTTCCACTTTTTGGCTATTATGAATAATACTGCTGTAAACATTTGTGTACAAGTTTTTGTGTGAACATTATCTTTTCCTTTCTTTTGAGTATATATGTAGGAGTAAAATTTCTGAGTCATACAGTAATTCTGTAAAAAACAGGTTTTTTTAAAAACAATTTCAACTCAAGTCATCTAAGGCAGATAAAGTTATAACCTAATGACACTTTACATGAAGCCTTATTCTACCCTACTTTTTTGTACCCCACTCTCTTCTCTTCATTATGAAAAATTTAAATATGTTGAAAAAGTAAAGAGGATGGTATAATATACTTGTCATGCAGGTTTAGCATGAAGTAGTTTACATTCTTTGCTGAAGAATTTGAAGATAAATTATAATACCTTAGCATGCATCTCTAAAATATAAGGGCATTTTTCTATATAGTTAACAATCTTATTATTTTGTTTTGTTTCAGAGACTGGCTTCAGTAGGGTGGTAAATTGTTAGAGGTAGGCTAGATTGTTGTAACAAGTACACATTCTTCATAAACACATAGATTGGAGTTAATAAAATAGTACTGCTTCTGTGTATAAGGAGCTCTGATGGTGCAGTGATTAAGGCATTTGGCTGCTAACCAAAAAGATTGGATGTTTGAACTCATCAGCTGCTCCACAGAAGGAAGATGAAGCAGTCTGCTTCCATAAAGATGTACAGCCATGGAAACCCAATGGGGGTGGCTATGAGTTAGGATTGACTTGATGGCAGTGAGTTTGGTTTGGATTTCTATGTATATTTTATATGTATATTTTAGGTTTTTAGCTTGAATGGAAAAGGTTAGTTATATGTATAATAGTAATATTTTATATTAATATAGAGCCTTATAATAGTTTTAAAAGTTTATTATTATCTTTTTAAATCTTCATGAGAACACTGTCATGTATGTATCCATGCTACAAGCTTTTCTGAGCCACCCTTCCCCTTTTAGGTGACTTACTCATGAGTCGTAATTAAATGGAAAACCTAGAACTGGAACCCAAGTGCTTGACCACAAAGTCATTCTTTTTCTACTAATCATATTTTTCTGACCCATTATCTTTTATTTTTCCAAAAAGATCCCTCAGTTGAGGAGTATCTTTGAAATCTGTCCTTCCTTCTGTATATTCACTGCAGCTATTCTTAATGAGATCTTTCTTTCCTGTCTAAACTTTTACAGTAGCTTTCTAATTTCTTCTTCTAGTCTTTCCTTTCTTTAATCTGTTCTCTGTTGCCTGCAGAATAAAATCTAAGCTGATTAGCAAATCATAAAAGATCTTTAATAATCAGTTCCAACCTTCCTTTCCAGCCTCAGCTTCCATCTCTTCTCTTCTCCCCTGTCCCAACACTGTATCTAGCTCTCCTAAACAATTTATGATCTTTTTTTATGCTTCCGTACTTTTGATCTTTGCTTACAATTTTCTTTCTCTAAGGAACTTCTCTAAGGCACTTGACTGCTAATCAGAAGGCTGGCGGTTCAAACCCACCAGCCACTCCTCGGAAGGAAGATGGGACAATCTACATCTGTAGTGATACTGCCTTGGAAACCCAAGGAAGGGTCGCTATGAGTCGGGTCCGACTCGACGGCACATAACAACAACAACAAAGGAACTTCTTTCCTAGACAAAATTAATTATTTGTTTTCTTAGTTCTTTGTACGTACTACTTTATGTCATTTAATAGTGTTGTTGTCATTTAATAATGTCATTCAACTGAAAAAGGCCTATGGTAATCTGATTCTCAAGTTATTTTTGGCAAACAATCTCTGTAAATACTGTAATCTTACGTACTGGGAATCTACTGTATGGCAGGTTCTGTGCAAAGCAGCTGTGACACAAAGGTAAATAAAATAAGGTGCCTGCATTTTAGAAGCTTATTTTGCTAAGCTGCAAATTCCAGTAAGGCAGTTGTTTGATTTGTTTTGTTCAACATTGTACCCACATCATATTCCAACATATTTGCATATTGGGTACTTGCAAATATTTGTCAAACATAGTTATATGGGCACAAAGAACTGGAAACAAATGTTCCAAACTATTATTAAATGAGGAGCTCTGGTAGCTTAGTGCCTAAGACACTTGACTGCTAACCAGAAGGCTGGCGGTTCAAACCCACCAGCCACTCCTCGGAAGGAAAGTTGGGCAATCTACTTCCGTAGAGATACTGCCTCAGGAACCCAAGGCATGGAGAAAACAGACAGATTTAGGATTTTTCAAAAATGTTATATTCTTCCTTTTTCAATTTTTGTACGAAACTGGAAAATTGGTTGTTAGATATATTCCATCTTTGTCCTAATGTTTCCACACCTGTAGAATATCACAAATAGTGATTTTTTTTAAGAAAGCTGTATCAAAACAAAATTTTTACATTGACTTACATTTTCTTCTTTGTGTAGTCTTGTTTAGCTATAGCTAGCCTTACGTATGAATTGATCATGTGTAAACTATCTTTTTAAAACATAACTTAATCTATATTTTATACTTTTATAGGTGTATACATTTCCAGATATTCAGACTATCTTCATCCAAGACCCTGGTATCATGGAAAATCTGGTTATGTTGTAATTTTTAATCTAATTAAGGTAAATCCCAGCTGCGCATTTGTTTTGTAAAAAACTAAAGGTTACCTATCTGTGGTGACATTCTTTGCAGATAGTAGATAAGTTCTCGACAAAGATAGCTGCCCAAATTCAGAAGAAAATCACTGAATTTTTTTCTTTCTCTTAAAAACAAACCTTTATTATTTATTTGTTAATCTCTGAACATTTAAAAAATGAAAAGCCTCAAAACAATAAGATTAGTTGGTGAGAAGTCTCTCTTACCCTGTCTTGTGGGACCACTTTTTAAACATTAAATAACAGAAAACAAGTAGCTGCTTATAAAATGATTTGATTACTGTTATAGAAAATGAATGTCAGAAAGCAGGACTCATTGTCTGGTTTAAATTATTGAAATAAGAAATTTTTATTTTCTAAATCCTTGAAATACCTAGACCTCAGCATAGTTGATTTTCTTAATATACTATTGCTGTTCACAGCTTCATATGACAGCTGTTAATGAGGATTTCAGAAATTCCTTTGTTGTTGTTGTTACATGCCGTCGAGTCGGATCTGACTCAAGCGACCCCTCCTTGGGTTTCCGAGGCAGTATCACTACGGAAGTAGATTGCCCCATCTTCCTTCCGAGGAGTGGCTGGTGGGTTTGAACCGCCAGCCTTCTGGTTAGCAGTCAAGTGCCTTAGGCACTATGCAACCAGAGCCTTATATTAAAAAAAAAAACTCACTGCCATCGAGTCGTTTCTGACTCATAGTGACCCTCATTGGGTTTCTGAGGCTATAAATTTTTACAGAAGTAGATTGCCCCATCTTCCCTCAGTGGAGCAGCTTGTGTATTTGAACCACAGACCTTCCAGTTAGCAGTGAAATGCTTTATCCACTATGACACAAGAGCTCCTTATCCTTAAATAGTTCATTATAAATTGATCATGCAATTAGAATTTTCACCGACATAGTAGGAAACTGGTTTTAGAGGTTGTTGGGCTTTTTTTTTTAAAAAAAAGTTTTATTTTTAATACATTTTATTGCAACATAATTTATGTACAGAGAAATACACCAACCTAAGTGACATGGGTCAATGCTTTTTTTTTTTTTTTTTTTGGCAGTGTTCCCTCCCCTCCCCTCCCACCCCTGGCAACCAACAAAGTAAGTTTCCCTCCACATACGAAACTTTCCTTGACCCTCCACAACAACACACTAATACTATATTTGTCCTTTTGTGATTGATTTATTTCACTCAGCATAATGTCCTCCAAATTCATCCGTATTACGCAGTGTTTTGCAGACTCTACATTATTCTTTAGTGCTGCAAAGCAGTCCATTATGTGTATGTACCACCATAGTTTGGTTGTCCACTCCTCCGCTGATGGGAGTTTCCATCTTTTTGCTATTGTAAATACTGCTGCGATGAACATGAGTGTGCATACATATCTGTTCTTATCCTGGCTCTTACCTCTCTAGGATATATACCTAGTAATGGGATTGCTGGGCCAAATGGTATCTCCAATTCCAGCTTTCTAAGGAATCACCATATTGCTTTCTACAGTGTTTGTATTACTTCACAGTCTCACCAGCAGTATATGAGAGTCCCAATCTCTCCACAATCCTGCCAGCATTTGTTATTTTCTGTCATGTTGAACTTTGCCATCAGTGCTGGGATAAGACAGTATCTCACTGTTGTTTTGATTTGCATTTCTCTGATGGCCAATGATTGTGAGTACCTCTTTATGTATTAGCTGGCCACCGAGTATCCTTCTTGGCGAAGTGTCTATTCATGTCTTCTGACCATTTTTCAGTTGGATTATTAATTTCTTTGTTGTTGAGACATTGGAGTTTTCTATAAATCTTAGAGATAAGTCCCTTGCCAGATATGTGATTATCGGCAAATGTGAATTTGTTGCTGTCATTTTTATGACAATACAATAACATTTTTGTTATCTCTTGTGGTGTCGATTTCTTTGTTCTATATAATTTTCTATGCAGAGTTTGTTTTGTTTATGAAACGTGTTATCACTTCCTTTGTTGCTATTGTTTTAGTATTTACTAAATATTTGTGTTGGTCCTCTTTTTGATTTTGATGTGAAGATTTATCATTTTTCTTTGAGGTTACCTTGTGATTTATAGTTTTATTCCCAATTTAGAACAGTCCATTCTTTCTTATAGTTGTCTTGACATCCCTACCATCTAGAAGTTCTATAACGACACAGTTTTTTCCCTCTTTTTGGTTTATAGTTGTCCTCACTTGCCAATTGATGTCTCTGGTTTCCTGTTTACAATCTTGTAAGTTTATTTTACTTTGGATATGTCTATAGCTGTGGTTTCTGGGTTATATCATCTTGTGTATTAATAGTCAGTTGTTGTTTGCTGCTGTTGCTTCTGTCCAAAGGACTCTGTTTAGCATCTCTTGTAAGGTTGGTCTGTTTCTAAGAAATTCCCTTAATTTCTGCTTATCTGGAAATGTCCTAATTTCACCATCATATATGAGGGACGGTTTTGCTAGGTACGTAATTCTGGTATGGAAATTTTTCTCTTTTAGAGTTTTATATATACCATCCCATCGTCTTTTTGCCTGCGTGGTTTCTGCCGAGAAATCCAAACTTAGTCTTATTGGTTGTCCCTTGTAGGTAACTTTTGTTTTTTTCTGTGCTGCTCTCAGGATTTCTTCTTTGTGTTTGGTTTTGGTGATTTTGATGATGATGTGTCTTGATTTTCTTTTGGAGTCTATCCTGTTTGGGGTTCATTGGATTTCCTGAATGGATATATTCTCATCTTTCATCATATCAGGGAAGTTCTCTTCCAACAAATATTGAATAATTTTCTCAGTGGTTTTCTTTTTCTCTTCCTATTCTGGAATTCCAGTGACACATAGGTTATTCCTTTTGATGGTATCCCACATAACCTTAGCCTTTCTTCATTTTGTTTTGCTCTTTTTTTGTGATTGATCCCTTTCCAAAGAAGTATTCAGGTATTTGTCTTCAATCTCATTAATTCCATTTTCCATTGCATCAATTCTTCTCCTTTGCCCTTTCAATGTGTTATCTATTTCTGACAATTTAGTATTAATCTTCTGGATTTCTATCTGTAGATTTAAAATCATTTCTAATTTTCCATTTATTTTGTTGTTTTGTTCTTGTATTCTGAAATTCTTCTAGGATTTTGTCTGTGTTTTCCTTGGTCTGTCTCTCAGTCCTTTGAAGATACCTAAATATATATAATTCTTTTGAATTCCTTATCAGGGAGTTCCAGTGCTGCCTCTTCCTCAGGGATGTGTTTTGGGTCTGTATCCTGGTCCCTTGTTTCTCCTGTTTATCTTGTTTTTTTGTGTGGCCTGTGTTGCTCTGTTGTCTCCAAGACATTGTGACATTTTTGTGTTTATATTTAATTGGTGTTTATATGTTGGACTGACTTGCCCACGATTTTTGTTTTCTTTCTGTGTTGTCTACCCATGCAGGGTACTGTGCTGTGCTTCTCTATTAACTAGTTGACAGCATTTACACGCTCACCACCTGTCTCCTTTCCTGTTGTCAGCCTCTTGTATGTCCCTGCCAACCTTTGCAAACAGAGCCTATTCTTAGGTCCCTGGTATCCAAATGAGAATGCTATCACTTTAAAATTCAAAATGGTTGCCACTTGTAAAGATTAAAAATGGCTGCACCCTCGGTCACTTTAAATATCCAAAATGGCTGCCACATGTAAACAATCAAATTGGCTGCACCCTCTGGACAGTGGAAAGTCAACAGCTCAGGTTGTCACTCTCCTTGCTGTTTCCCTTCCTAGTCATAGGCCACCAGCACAGTCATCCCCACAGCCCTTGGTGACGAAGGCTGATCTTTAGGTCAATTCTCAGGTCCCAACACCACTTGGAAATATTCAGACTGTTGGTCCCGTCAGAGTAGCTGACAGTCTACAGCTCTGACCATCTCAGTAGTCACTGTTTTCGTTCAGGTTTTTCCACTAGTTGGTGCTTAATCCACTTCTGTATAGTTCCTTTCAAAGCTCAGGGCTCCAGGATTGTCTTCTGTATCTCTGTCCATCGGTTTTCCTTTGTTGAAGGGGGCTGTGTCACTTGTCTGTCTAGTCCTCCATCTAACCGGAAGTCCAGATGTTGGGCTTTTGAGGATAGGTTCTATGGCCTTGTTTTGTTACACCTTTCTTACTATATTAAGTTCTTTGGTTATAAACCCAATAGTACTGACGTTTTTTCCCCCTAAGATTGAACTCCTTATATTCCAGAGTGTATGCCCAAGATCTGGAGGACAAGTGGTATTGCATTGAAATATAACCACTGCTTTTTCTCCCTTAATCTTCCTTCTCTTGTTCTGTGATAAGTATTATAGTTCTGCTGAAGCAAATATGCCTGTCAATTTACAAAAAAAACACAGATTTTTTATTTATTTTAGACTACCTGAACCATGGCTTTCTGCCACTATATCCTGTTGGGTAGATTATCTATTTAATTAAAAAAAAAAAAAAAAAACTAATTGCTATTTAATTTTGCTATATGCTCTCAGTCATCTATATTTTATTGCTCAAAAGCTAGCCACATCCAGATATCAGATATTTGATGGGGAGAATATAAAGGTTGCTTACTGAGAAAAACTATTTATATTCTTTAGTTTCTAACTATTACTTTTGGTCAGTTTATAAATGCAAAAT